TATATATATATATATATATATATATATATATCTGTCTGGGATTTGATGCAAAATGCCAAACCGATTTTGCTGTAGGCTTGTGAAACAACAATAATAATATGAACAGATGGCCGAATCTTGATTTTATCTACAATCGTGAAATCACTTATACTACTTATTTTGGGTGTTGTTTCAAGGATAAGGCTGCTTCTTAAGGTGGTTTTAACCCGAATTTTGTATTAGAGTTTTGAACAAATTCCTGTGCGATCCCTATTATGAACTACTATCGTGGTATGATAGTAACCAAAAACCAAGTTAAGTACGCAAAAAATACAAACAAAAATTTAGCATTAATCTGTATTTTATTTTTTCAGAATATTAATTACAGTTACCATCTAAAAAATTTCAGAAAATATCCTTTATAGTAATAACTAAAAATGTTTGACCCCAATAACAGCTGCGAATAAAAATATTTTCTAGAAGCAAAAAAAAAAAGAATGCAACAAGACACTTTTCTAGTGTTATTTTCTTAACAAACATTACTACAAGTCCTTTAATAAGCTTATGATGAAAGTGTCAAAGAAGTATAACGTATTTAGTTCTAGTCGTGCAAGAATTCACAAAATTCTTCACAGTAAAATAATAATAGTGATAATAATTTTTTCTTAATATGCATAACTGTTCTATCAACGATGTTTAAAACTCCCACAAAGTGGCACTTTCAGGGTTATTGTCGCCGACTTTGAGGATTCCGTTTTTCTTTGCTACTAAGTAATTTCCGCTAGAAGTCTTCAGGCTCAATTTTGACGGTTCTCTGATCTCTAAATAAAAACCTTGAGGAACATCCGAATCAACAACAATCTCATCTTCAAACACTCTCCAGTATTTCTTGCTTTTGCCATCTGGTGGTAAAAAATAATATTACGTAAATGCAGCATTTTATACCTATTCAATACGACTGACTTTAATTATTCACATAATTTAAAAAGTACCACTCAAATACTTAAGATCAGTAAATAGCAATAATAACAATTACAGTATTCATAAACGTTTCCATGGTATAGTATATCATAATCTACTCTGAATTATCTCAGAGTATTAAAAGAAATCCGTTTAGACAATTTTTTGCTTTAAAACAAGTTACTCCATAATGTAATTGTTACACTCAAGTCAGCACCTATTTGATTAATTTTAGTTTAAGGATTCGTGCACAAAAATTGGTTATGATTTTCTCATACATTAATACGTAGTTATAGCGCTCTATAGGAGAGGCCAAGAAGTTCACTCGCTGCTTCAAGAATCTTTACCTCTCTTCAAAAAATATTGTGTTGCTAGAGGTTTCGAGGTTATAATAATAATTATTTAATCATAATCTCATTAACACAGACTGATATTGTTCTTATTTTTAATTCAAAACTACATATAAATCACAAACAACACATCACGACTGTGTGAAACCTCACCACAATTACAAAAAATTTTCCTTGATTAAAATAGTGCAATTTTTCACGCAGTATTTTCGATGCTTTTAACCTCGTTTTTATATTTTTTATTACGAGCGGGATGAACTTGAAAGACTGGTATCCCTGAACATCCTTGGGTTACTTACCAGGTCTTATTGTTGTTGTTTGTCGTGTGTAATGCCATGTCAAAATCAAGTTATGATTATGAATATATAGAGACATATTTGTGTGTATTTTTACTCAGAGAGTTGAAGAGAGATAAATATGAGAACATTGTTTTAATCTTACAAACCTTGTAAGTAATAAATTCCTGGCTCTTTCCCTTTTTCTATTACAATTGTTTCGTATTCTGATTTATTACATTCCAGCTTCTGAGAAGTAGCACTTTTGTAGCCCACAAACCCTTGGTCGCATCTAATGACAATGCGTGAACGGTTTACCAGGAACAAGTAAAAATTTTCCATCTTTTCCACTCGGTCACTATTGACAAACAGTTGTCCATTTTTCTTCGCCGCTACAAATCTACCATTATAGGCCAGAAAAGAAACGCTTCCATTCTGATTCCATACAAGGTCAAAGGATGAACTGGGGATCCTGAAGTAATGAAAATCGTCAACGTTAAACTTTGAAAAAATGAATGATCAAATTTCTCTTATCTCCAAATTTTTATAACCTTTTTAAGCGTATTTTACTTTTTGGCATAGCTCATGAAAAGTTCTTTTTGACCTCATTATTAGAAAATTAATAACTTCCCCATCATATCACCAGATGCACCATTTATTATCTGCACCACCAAGTGGTCTAGCCTAAAATTGTGTTTTTATTGCGTTATTAACATGCTGTAACTTATCACCAATATTTCGTCCTACAAAAAGATTTCGTGTGGGTTATCTTGACATTACTATTTTTCCTTATCTTACAGTACGTTCACCATCAGTAACATAAGGATGACTAATTAATTAAGCATGCAGTAACTTTAATATTCAAATGCCATTGACACTCTGTACACATATATTAATAATGTAAACACATACCTATTACAGTCAGTTGCCTGGATCCCACCATTACTTCCCAAACACCAGTATCTGTTCTCTATTGTCCGAACGTACCACCGCTTGGAGGAGTTATCAATCTCCAGTTGAAAGGTTTCGTGATCACAGATTTCATCCTGGTTTGCGGTTACATCGACTCCTGTATAAATAATATATAAAATTTGTTTTCTAGACAATGCGCATTACCACAATCAAGAGCCTTATCTTTACATAGAGTATTGATAAAATATCAAATGGTCAAACAAATCCTATAAAACAAAATATCTATAAAAGGTATTGTATATAATTATGCACCACTTTGTGTTCAATTTCCGGCAATGGGACGCGAACCATGAATTATCTGATTCACAGTCCGGTCACGCTAACCTTGAGCCACGCTTCACTCTAATCGTTTGTTAACGATTTGAAACATCAGAGCTTAGATTTAAGAAAAACAACGCTTACATCGCTATTTGGGCGCGCTATTTGGTTGAAAGAATCAGATAAAACCTTTGTGACGGCAGGTGTTGCTGACTTTTAACCCTCTTGTAAGTAGTTCAAAATTATTTCAAACCACGGTATACATATATATATGATACTTGCTTATGGCAACCTCAAATATCTATTGCTTAAATTTATGCTATGAAACATTACGTCATTTTCAAACATGGAATAATTGTGTATTTTGTCACAACAAGCACGTTTTACTCTTTTTTGCTTTTTACTCTTAACAGTGCCCTCAACATGTAAAGTGTAATATATATATGTCCAATATCATTAGGGTAGATATCATTTACCATGCAAATTAGCAATGTATTTTTCTTAACTTATTCTTAAAATTTCCAAACTGAAAGTTATTTACATTAACTCCAAAAAATTTTCATGCCAGAAACACCCATTACGTTGTACATTAGCAATGTGAGTTTTGTAAGAGGTTCCACTTTACATACACACTGTCGGTGATATTTGTTTTGTAAGCACCAAAATGTTTTTGAATCCACATTGAAAACATATTTCCGAGTAGCATTGGGTCGAATATGATCACAGTTGATGTTGTTTAAGCCCGATGATAATTGTTTATGATCCGAAAAACGAGCCCTAAGAAGTTTAATAAAGTTGAACAAGCAAACGTTGTTCTTTACTTCAGTTTTGGAATTTAGAGATAATGTCATCTAGTTTTACTAACGTGACCTTTTTAAGTTTAATATTTTTCAACATTTCAAGTGTAATAGGTATGTTAATAAAGGCACTTATAGAGCTTATTGCATATTCAATTAGCAGATAAGGACACGATTTCTTGCTTCATCATGCTATTACAATTAAAATGTCTCTACTTTCCTCACCTTGTCGTACAGAAACCATCTTTCCACTGACTCCTGCAAAAGCTACTTGCGGTTGAGACACCTCCAGAGTGAATAGCTCGTCCTTGGAGATTGAATGTGTCCGGGTCCTGAGAATGGCTTTACTTCCTACAGGTGCAAGGTATCGCCCATCTGCAGCCTTTAATGCTAGGTATTTGTTATGAAACTCTAAAGTGAATCTGCAGTCTTGTCCAACTTTGTCAACTAACTTCCCATCGGCATGCAGACATCGGCCATCTCCAGTGTGAAGACTGTACTTACCACTATCATAGATCAATGTGAATAATGTGTCTTCACCCCACGGGATGTTAGCATCAAAGCGTATTTCATTCATGTTTGACAAAAGCCGAGCAAAGCGACGGCGACCAAAGGACCGCAGCAGGACCTGCGGACGGGTAGCAAGATGAACATCCCACAATTCAGCGGGACCTGGTATTTTGGCTGTACATACCACTTTGTCCTTACTGGCTCCCAAGAAATAACCTCTTACCAGACTTTGCAAAGCCCACTTCCCATCTCTGTCATCTGCCACAAAGATCTGGAATGTGGCTTCGGCTCCTTTGTCTTCAATTTCACAGGTGACATTGCCAAACTGGTCCACTGCAAGATACTTGCCCTGGTGACTTCTGAGGGACACCGCCTCTCCGTCTTCCATCCACTCCAGGTTCCATGTCTGTTTCTTTTTCAAACCAATCCCGTTTGCATTTATCTTACAGCCGAAATTCTCTGCAGTCAAATAGCGAAACTGGCTGTTGACCAAGCCTATCGTCCAAGGCAGAACCTGGTCATCATCGGTTCTATGTCCATTCCTGTTCATCATGCTGATTGTTACAACTGTCTGATAGAGATAATTATAATAAATATTTTTTTTAATTACAGCCATATCAATGTCAATGCTACATTTGAAATACATTATCAAATAAACTATTTATCACTTCTTTATTATGATATTATTTTTAGTGTAACTTTCAGTAAAAAGTCTGTTAAAAAAATCTGTACGCCGCTTTCATAGCAAACACACATGCATAATCGTTCATTTGAATAGCCTCGTAAATATTTATTCAACACATTTTCAATATCTAAGCATTTGAGTTATGCATAATTCAAAATATACGATTGAACTTTATGTTGTTGAAAACCAGCAGAATGTTTAATGTCTTCTGTGCTAATATCCATTTACAATATGACTATGACGTATATTACTGATTAAACAATCAACAGTCAATTATGGCTTCTTTATCAATTTACCAAAGTCAACTTTAACATTATCAATACCGAACGATGAATAATATCTACTTTATCAACAACCTTCTATTATCATCTACTACTTTATCAACAACCTTCTATTATCATCTACTACTTTATCAACAACCTTCTATTATCATCTACTACTTTATCAACAACCTTCTATTGTCATTTACTACTTTATCAACAACCTTCTGTTTTCATTTACTACTTTATCAACAACCTTCTGTTTTCATTTACTACTTTATCAACAACCTTCTATTTTCATTTACTACTTTATCAACAACCTTCTATTGTCATTTACTACTTTATCAACAACCTTCTATTGTCATTTACTACTTTATCAACAACCTTCTATTGTCATTTACTACTTTATCAACAACCTTCTATTTTCATTTACTACTTTATCAACAACCTTCTATTATCATTTACTACTTTATCAACAACCTTCTATTATCATTTACTACTTTATCAACAACCTTCTATTGTCATTTACTACTTTATCAACAGCCTTCCATTATCATCTACTACTTTATCAATAATCTACGATGAACATCTTCTATTTTATAATTACCCTAATGTGATCACGTTATGAACAATTTAATACGCAACTTTCACTTTATCATTACCCCAGAATGGTTACATTGTTCGTTATCAACAACCCATGATCATCAACTTGAACACTATCAAGAAAGTACTATAATCAGTTTCTAAGTTATCAGAAAACCTATGATAGAGCTCCTATAAAAATAATATAAATATCGCATATGTTAATCCTCTGTGTTACCAACAGTTTACTCTGTTTATCCTTTATATTAGCAATAGTCTACAGTGTATACCTATAGTACATAGTCAAAGGCCTACACAGTTTGCCTTCCACGTTATTAGTAAACGATATATTAATTTTCTACATTATTAATGAACTGCAGAATATTTCTATGCAATAAGCTAAACTTCCGTATCCTTATTTATCTACAGACTTCACATACAATATTAATTATCGACTCGTACAACCAATAGAAAAAATTGTTTCAACAATCTATTCTGATGGTAACCAACAGACACAACTTGAATGAAATGATATTAACCACGTAGTACAAATTACTGTAGCTAATAAAGTTTAATACATTTTCATATATATGTTTATATATGCAGTAAAAATCTTACAAACTTTACATGCTACTTATCATATATACCTATCTTGCTCTCTACTTACTGACTGTATGAAGCAAAGCTGGAAAAGATCTGACAGAATACCTGTTAGCGAGTTTGTGAGACACTGAAGAGCACGAGATCACGTGACTTTATAACGCTCACTAAGTTTCTGCTCTCTCCGTGTTCAGACAGGTTATAAGAAAGACCATTTCCTGTTCAAACTGTTTTTTAGGAACATGTCACAATGTAACCCTTTTATTTATGTGATATGAATAATCTTTTTTTTTCTTCTAGTAGTCTAGAAGATGTTTTGATAAAATCCAATTATGACATAAATTAAAAAAGTACAAGAGCGGAAGCTAAAAGATTTCCCACGACCTTTCACACGTATTACCATTTAATTAATCATCACTACACGTATGGACTTACATTCGTGGAGGTAATTCATAGAGTTTTCACGGCCATTGTCAACAACGCTTATTAATATATTTATATTGGAAAATATATCATTATTATTTTGTTAATTCGAGAGAAAAAAATGTTTTTGAAGGAGTACACTCGAAAAGCTATAACTCTCCTTCCTTTAAAAATGTTCTTACTTTGAAATTCAAGTTTTAACTACCATTTATCGTTACAGATTTTTAAAGAACGAGGTTGTAGAAAGCATTATTATTGTTCCCAAATTTCAAAGTAAAATGATGGTTTTTATTTGATGTTTGGTGACTATAACAAAAGTACAAGTATCATTTTCATAGACAAAGTGAACATTTCTCTAATTACGAGCCAAGCACGGCCCGTTGGTTGGCATGCCAAACTGTGGTTCCGAAGTCTAAGTTTGTGCCCCTATACCGCCAAAAAAATAAATAAATAAACTTCAGGCTCAGCTCTTTGGGGCCGTGGGTGCGTTATAAGAGCGATGGTCAAATCCCTCTACTCAATTAGTGTAGCTCACGAGTTGACGGTACGTGATGTTGACTAACTGCCTTCCCTCTAGTCTATCACTTTAAAATTAAAGACAGCTAGCAGAGACAGCCCTCGAGTAGCTTTACGCGAATTGCACAAACAACACCAAACAAATGTTTGCTTAGACCGATTGCTCTAAAGTTATTGTTAACAAATATGATTCTTTGTCTAACTTCTGTAGTGCATATTGGTGTATAGAAGACATATTAATACTAGAAATAAACGACATCCTAACACCAAAATTATATGTTTATTTTATTAAACACCAACGTTTCGCTTTACAGCTTCTTCAGGAGCGTTCACCAAAACACAAACCGAAACTGACAGTACAAATCTTCAAAGCTTTTTTCTTTCTATTGAAGCTTTATCAGTTCTCTGACTAGCCAGAATACTAACTGAACAAAATCAGGTTAAGGCTGAAATTTATTCTAGGTCTCAAATTTTCAAATATGTTATTTTATTTTGTCACAACAAACATGCTAATGCTTTTTTACATAATTCTATCTATCTTCACCTGTTCACTCTCTGTGGTAAGATATACATGTGCAGTAATCCAGCTTCTCATTTTTCGAGGAATAAAATCTATATCTCTTACAAGTCAAGTGAGCGATCAAACACTTGAAAGAAAGGGGTACTTTTTAACTTTTGAAACTACCTATTTACCGCATATTCATATACACAAACATATCTATCCATCAATCTTTCCGCCCGAGCCTCCCTCTATCTATCTATTTGTATGAATGTGTGATATCGATTAATGGAAATATTTTCCGATACAATAATTTAGTATCGAGGTTTTAACTAGTCATTCTAATATATCGCCTGAATAATATCATTTCACATCACCTTCATTAATGAGCAAACATTCTGCAACTTTATGATTTCATAGCAATATAAAATTTACCCATCAGATCCTACTTACTAGTGTATTTAGTTTAACCTAAGCACTGAGCCAAGATATTGAAACAGTGTTTACTTTATCCAAGGTGAACAACACAAACGTGTATTTATTATTTTGAATTTCCCGACAGTTGTTACGACTGCAATTAGACATGCTTCCTTGCTCAGGCCTAATTCTTATGTCTTTCTGTGCCGTTCGTCTAGAACAGAAGCTTCTTGTGAACGTCATATCAAGAAGGTGATGGTACAGCCTCACAGACGGTGTCACCTCAGTCAACACCCCCACAAAATAATTATAAGATTACATCTTTAGAATTCAGTCACAGATTAATAAGCACCACCTTCAGTTAGATGACGCTACGTATTTTAGTAGGTCTGAAGCTTTATTTATTATATCACTTTGCCAAAGTGCACGAAACATTACTTAATGGCTGTGAGTCCAAAACTGTAGAATCAAGAGGCATAATGTTTTCAGTCGAAACCTTTATTAGCTTGAATCTAACTTCTAAGATCAATAAATAACATTTTCACATATCCATATTTAACAGTATTAACTCATATATTTAATCCTAGAATTACTGACGGGAACATTTATAAATCCCATCTTTTCAAACACTTTTTAAATTAGTGATGCACCACATTGATTGTAGCTCCATGACTTTGTTTGTTACAGGGCCCCTAGTAGCACATGAGTCAAAAAATACATGAACATACCATCAAAAATGCAGTTACTCCCTCTATTTGTAAAATACATAGAAAATGTATGTTTTTTGGTCAGTTCTTTACACTGAATATTGTATAATAAGCAAAAGACGTGAAATTACATAATGTGATATAATATGTGGACCCTAACGGAATGCTTAGAAGTTAAATGTGTGTACTAAATATCTTGCTAGACCGAATTCGTACACTGGACACATCTCTCGTGCTTTAGTGTTCATCCCTACCCTGAATTCAGTGCCGTTTCAACATATACAAGTAAAAGAAAAACTTCTCAAAAAAGGAAGTAAATGTAGGGATGGTTAATATCAATCCTTCAAAAACAATGCAAACAAGATAGTAGGAATGGCATTTTCATCATCCCTACATAATAGAGCAGACAAGAATTAACATATAACAATATACATAGATATTCAATCACAATTGAGTTTAATTTATCCTATTTTTGTCTGTTAACATTATAATACACAGACAAAAATAGGATAAATTAAACTCAATTGTGATTGAATAGTTATATATATTGCTATATGTTAATTTTTGCCTGTGCTATTATATAGCGATAAAGCAAATGCCATCCCTACTATCTTGTTTACATTATTTTTGAAGGATTGATATTAGCCATCCCCACATTTATTTCCTTTTTTAAAATGTTGAGGGTTTATAATGTTAAAAGTCGGGGTTTGATTGCTGCGGTGGGCATAGCTTAGCTAACCCATTGTATAGCTTTGAGCTAACAATTGAACAAACAAGAACTTCGTTTCAAAATAGTCTTTATTAATCTTAATGTTTGAACGTTGTTAAATCTTCATTGTTCTGGATTTTTCTGTTTTCCTTTCGTCTATGTTATTCTCAAGTTCTTAATAAAGTATGAGTAGGGCTTATTACACTATTTTCATGATGAAATGCAGGAGTTGTCCAACACAAGACAGCGTAAATGTTTACCACGAATTAAGCAACCGGGTTGTTTACTACGAGTGTTACAGTGGACTTGTTTACCATGATTAATACAGTGGATTTGTTTACCATGAGTGTTACAGCGGAGTTGTTTACGATGAATATCATAAACAGTAGAGTTGTTTACCATGAATATTACAGTGGAGCTTTTCCCCATGAGTGTTACAGTGGAGTTGTTTACCATGAGTGTTACAGTAGAATTGTTTACCAGGAGTGTTACAGTGGAATTGATTACCATGAGTATTACAGCGGAGTTGTTTACCATGAGTGTTACAGTGGAGTTCTTTACCGTGACTATTACAATAGAGATGTTTACCATGAGTATTACAATAGAGATGTTTATCATGAGTGTTACAGTGGAGTTCTTTACCGTGACTATTACAATAGAGATGTTTACCATGAGTATTACAATAGAGATGTTTATCATGAGTATTGTAGGGAAGATGTTTACCCTGAGTAACCTAGCGAAGTTTTTGCTATGACTATTACAATGGAGCTGTTTACCACAAGTAATACATTTAAGTTGTTCAACACAATTAACACAGTGGACTTGTCTGGTACGAACAATACCACAAAGCCGGCGAAATGTTTATTAGATTAGTTAACCGTGAAGCTGACCAACCAAGAAGTACCGGTAAGATGACCATCACTAGAAGTAATATGCATTTAATCAATAGCTGACAAATGCTAGTAGTTTAGTTTGCTTTTCTGTTGTTAAGCAGAAAACTACATAATGGGCTATCTTTGCTCTGCCCACCTCGGGTATCGAAACCCGATTTTTAGTATTAAAAGCCTTCAGACTTCCCGCTGAGCTACCGAAGAGGAGGACATCAATTTGATGTAGTTAATCATAACTAGTAAAGTGATTTGAGTAGAATAAACAAACTGTGTGTGTGTTTTTGCAATTTCCTGTAGTAAACTTGTCTGAATACAAAATAATAATGAACACGTTAAACACATTTATGTCGCTAATTTAAACAAACAACCAAACAAAAGAAACATACACACAATAATTGTATTACGCGTCACAGGATCATCGACGTTAAGCTTCGAGAACCCGAGTTCGAAGATTCTTCACACCCTAAGGCCGAATAAGCATCTTGTTATATAAAGAAATATGTTATTGGTTCGATGGCTACAAATTTAAATCAGCAACCAGTTTTACGTTGCACGTTTCTTTCGTAATTCAGTTGTTGAAACCACATAAGCACTAGATGTCGATAGACACAATGTAGAAAGATTCAGAGTATTGAGAATTAAACCTCTGTAAAATTTGTTCCATGTCAATGCATCTTTCAGTTCTTTTTCGTTCCATTACAGATTTATATATATAGATATTATATAATTAGAATTGTTTCTACTTTTAGTAAAAAAAAAACAACCTAAGAAGTATAAACTTGAGAAAGAAAGAAATATTCTTATTAATTTGTATTGTCTACTTTATATAAATAAATCCAACTGCATGCATCAGTAGCGATAAACATTCACGTTATACAAGCAATTTATTGATCTTCACAATAAACTAATCATAACTTTGACACTTATGTGGGGTTTTTTTATCCGTTTTTCTTACGTTGATATAAATTGAATATATTTTACGAGTTTTTATGGCATTTTTATCCATAGCTGTGAGCATTACT